CGGGGTCTGTGCCCAGCCAAGCTGTGTGAGGTCGGGTGGGCACTGCAGCCAGCAGTGGTGGGAGGTTCCTGTGTCTCTGAGTGGGAGCACTGAGCTGTGTCCCAGCCCGTTGGTGCCACTGGCCCGGGGTGACCAGCTGGGTCAGGCAGCTGTGCCACCAGGGAGCTGCCTGGCTTTGCCCCTTGGTGCTGGGCAGGGACAGGATTTGGGCAGAGGGAGCCCCGTGTGCCCTTGCTGCCCCACGGAGCCCCCTTCCCTGTGCCAGGAGGGCAGCCTGGGCTGTGGTGGGTGACAGCACTGCAGGCTGCTCCAGCACCGTGTGCCAGGAGCTCTGGGCCAGTGTCAGCCCTACCAGGATGGCCTAGGGTGGGGGGACAGCTGGGGACTGGCCTGGCACTCTCTCATGCTGCCCCAGTACCCCGGTTCAAGCAGCCTTGCCTTGCTCCTCTAAGAAGACCAAAGGGGATTTTTGGATTTTTTTTTTTTTCTCCCTTGTCAGCATTCCATCTGGCTCACAGATATAATTAGAGCTTCCTCAGAAGCACAGTGAATCAGCCAGCCTTAACATAACTCCAGGAGAGCAGCTCTCAGCTCTGGTAAGTGTGTCTTGTCACCAGGACTGGGGCTGCCCACGTGGGGCTCTCCTGGGCCCACTGCTGTGCTGATGATGGACCTCAGCTGGGCCAACTGGATAAGTGACTTGCCCGTGGCTCGTCTGTACCAGCAGAGACATCAACATGTCCCAGGACACAACAGTCCATGGAGGAGAGGCTGAGCTGAGCCAAGAGCCTCACCCATCAGGTCCCCTCCTGAGCTTCCTCTTCTGATGCTGCAGAGACAGGATTGACATTGGCAAGGAGACCCCAAGCTTGGCACCCAAGGCTTGTGCCTGTGTAAAAAGTTCAGTCCTGGTCTGGCCCCACAGGCCCTGGGGCAGATGCTCCATGGTCCATCCAGTGCCCAGCATTCCATGCCCGGGGTGCTGCAGGGACAAAGCCAAGGCTTTGATCAGCACTTGGATCATGGCTCTTTTCCTCACACAGCCTGAGCAGTGATGCTTCTGGTGCTGCACACAGCCTGGATTTCCTGTGGATTACAGTAACAGCAGGTATTGCTCTTCCTTTCCTTGCTGTGCAGTGCAAATGGGGTTTCAATTCTGGAGGAGACTGAGTCCCAATAAAATGTTCAGTGGAAGTTGAGTCCACAGACCCATCCCCTCTCTGCAGACTGGAGTGACTCCAGTGAAGTTCATGACCACTGACCTCCCTGGGGGCAGGCAGGTGACCCTGAGCTCTGCAAAGCAGCTGGGCAGAGCGAATTCATGGGCCAGGAGTGTGAGGTACAGGAGTGGCAGAGGCTGCTGCTGCCTGCTGGCACCCTGTGTGCAGCCCTGCAGCTGCTGGAACCCTTGTTACACCAACGTGCTCCCAGTTCCAGCTGCACCCACCACATCCATGCTCAGGATTTCATTCCACATTACTATCTTGCTGTTCCCTTCACCCAGTGGCTCAAATTTCAGGCTGCCATGCACAGAGCAGAGCTACTTTCCCCTTGCTGATTCCTTTCGGTATCCTTTTAATTAATTGTCAAGGTAAGTTCCACGTGCCTGTTTGATGTTAACTGGAAATGCAGCTTTCATGGGGCAGAATTCACTGCAGTTGTGAGTCAGGTTTGGGAAAAAAACCCTGGAAGTCTGTGGAGTAGAGTGTGCTTGCTTGTATGGTGCTGTGAGTGATCCTCTTGTTGGGCAGGAAGTAGGGGCAGCTCTGCCCAGGATGGCATTTCATCCAAAAAGGGTTTAGAAGAACATCAGCAAACAAAAGTCACCTATTACGAGATCCACTGCTGTCTGCCGAAGCCACAGCAATCCCTTTTCCCAGTTGGACTGGAAATAGCAGGATGATTTCAGGATGCAATATGCACCACCACGTCTGTGCCCGTGCTGCTGAGGGGCAGTAATTACACTGCTCACAAACACTCCTTCACTCCAAGTGGCCTAATATTCTTCTTCATTATTTAGGAGTGTTCATCCCTAAAAACTGTTCTGACCCTTGAAGTCCTAAAATCCTACTGAAATTTGAAATAGATGGAATCTAATCTGTACCTGGTCCTCCTGTCGCCATCTCAGAAGACAATGTGGGTAATTCGCTGTTGGGCTGGAACCTTCCCTGAACATGAGGGAGATGAAAACAGTTTTTTGTGCCTGGGCATTCTGTGCCAGGGCTGCTGAAGAGGCAGGACAGCAGCAGGACTCTGCTCCTGCTGCCTCTGCAGCTGCTGGCCAAGGGGCTCGGGCTGGGTTTGGGAGCAGCCTCCCCCCAGGCAGCGGAGCAGGGACGGGGTGTGGCGCCTCTGTCCATGGAGCTTTGGGAGAGACAAGGGGCAAAGCCCTGAGTCACCAGGGCTGAGAGGGGGAGGGACCAGGGCACAGACCCCTGGGGGTCCCACCCAGGCAGTTCCATGTTTCTAGGATTCAGCATGGAGCAAGGGCATGGGGGTTAACCCAAACCCCGACAAATCAGCCTCCAAGGGATGGCAGGGAACATCTTCCCTGCAAGCGTGGAGTTGTACAGTTTCCTGAAAGCAGAGAAAATTTAAGGTGTATTTGCCTGGTGTTTTGGTCGAGTTGAAACCCTTTACAAGAGGTGAGAAGGTGGAAGGCAAACCCTTAGAAAACATTTATTTTGCAGTCACAATAAAAGCCATTCTTGAAAGAAAAAAATCAGCTGTAGCTTTCCCAGAAGATTGTAACCTATCCAAACCTGGGCTCAGGCTGACCTGGGGGTTCAGGAGCAGGGGCAGAGGGAACAGTGTGGCTCTTGGGGTGGTGACAGTCCCAGACGCTCCAGAGTGCTTGGCCAGCAGGTGGGGAGGATTCTGTACTCGTTACACAGGGACTGTGTCTGACACTGCAATAAGAGATGTCTGGTGAAAAATGGTGCTGCAGAAGTGAGTGCCATTTGAGAACATGCTGCATGGTTGCTTGTGCTGGATAAACCTCTGCCTGGAGCTCTGTGGAGTCTCATACTGCTTCTTAAACAGGGTTGAGCTCTGTTTGTATATTTTTGCAGATGTAGTGGATAAATGTGGTGCACAAGTGTCCTTTCTGCCCCCGTTACTCCCTCACATTGCCTGAACAAATAAGTGGTTGAGTTCGGCTGAGGGGCTGCTAGTTGTGCTTTGGAGTGATGCAGCAGGGTACAAATTGCAAAGAGCGTCTCGACAGGTTGCAATAAACTGAGCTTACAAAAAAAAAAAAAAAAAATCCTCCGGAATAGGAGAGCTGGGATTGTGTTTCTCATTTGGACACAGAGGAAGGTTATTAATGGTGCACTGACATTGCCAGAGGCACAGGGTGTGTGTGATTTGAGGTGGTGGAAGTACCTGCCCTGTATCCAAACTGCCAGCGGTCAGGGTGTGCTGGCTCCGGGTACAGGAGTGCCGGGCAGGACAGGAGC